GAGAAGGAAGTAACGAAGACAATGTTGGGGCTTGTCATGGAAGGGAGAAGACCCTTCTATTATGGACTTTAAGTAGTTAGACAAGCAGCTTACTTCTGCTCGAAGTAATGCAGCAGGTTGCACTTAGGTACCAGTAAGGTGGCTGGTGATGCTAGACTTAGATATTAGGGACATTTATGTAGTTACAAATGTAATTTCAAAAAACTTAATAAAGTATTAGTGTGACTGCTTATATGTAAAAATATATATATATATATATATATGTATTTATATATATATAGTACATATATATACAGTCTAACCTCTCTATAGTCACACTCTTGGGATACAAAAATTGGCAATTATATAAAGGTGTGACAAGTATAGAGGTATTTCTATATAGTTACAACATTATTAAAAAAATAATTAGTAATTATTTAGAGAATTTATAAATAATATTTTTTAAAAAAAATTTTTTTCAATTGATCGATAATAGTTGCTCTATATAAAAGTTAAATTTTATTAAATAAATCAATCTTTTCATATTAAGTAAAGTTGTTTAGAAGAACAATTTATATATATTATAAAATTTTTATATTTTTTAAAAAATATTTTACTAATTAACTTTTACAATTTACATTTCTAGGATGTGGCAACCTAGTGAAGTAGATAGGTTGTCAACCCTCAAGTGGCAGGTCTAAGGTTCAATTTCCATAGATGATGAATTTTGAAAATTATATCTGTGTTACAGTAACTGTCTCTTGCCAATCGGTTGGGTTTTGGGCATCTGTAATCTTAGGTACATCAAGTTGGGTCCCACCTGACATTGGGAGCTCAGGACATCTATGCGAAGTGTAATGTTACATGTTACATGTACATAGAGGAATGTAAAACTGGTGTCATATAAGGCTTTGAACAAACCCATGATAAGACCACTGGGCATAGAAGGCTAAGAAACCAAAGAGATGGAAAATCACTTGGAAATCCTAAATAAAGAGGTAGCACAAACTTTCAATAATGCTATTGGACTGATGGAAGCCCATGAAACACCTTCATAAGAACTGTTGGATAAACTGGATGACAAAGATGTGTAGAGGAGCACATAACCAACCAGGCCACCAGAATCGCCAGAGGAAAAGGATACATAAGTAAACCATACCGGACGATCCAGATTGGAAGTCTGAGAAGTCGGTTAGTTCCAAGTTATGGCTAGTAGGGGATAATAAAGAAGAAGTCAGAAAGATGGATACCAGAGTTTGAGTGAACTTTACAAGGGTAATAGCGGTTTAAGGGGTAACTCTGACTGCAAGTGTTGGCTCCAGTTATAGCATCAAACCAGGTTAGCAGTAAAGGGAATATGGCTTGCTTTTGTAGGTTTGCCTCGAGGATAAAAATAGTCTAAGAATTATAGTCCTATGGTTAATAGTGAATAGATTCGGGTCTGTAAACTGGTAAAATTAATACTAGGTTTAGATCAGAGGGTTTAAATATAACACCTAAGCAGAGGTGTTAGGTATGGCAACTGGTAGGGAACCCTCGAGTAGACTCCTTAAATAGATAATATAGAAAAGTTACACATATAACCAGCTGTACACTCATCTAATAGTTTATTATAGATACGTCTATATAAACATGTATCCGTTTTAAGTATTAATAAAAAGCTCGGACCAAAGAGGTCATCTTAATACCGAAAAAAAAAAAAAAACAATTTACATTTCTATGAAAAATTGAATTTTTTTATATAAAGTAAATTGCAAAACTTAATTAGTAAAATTATTTTAAAAAACATAAAAATTTTATACTAAATGTAAATTGTTCTTTTAAACAACTTTACTTAATATAAAAATTGATTTACTTAATAAAATTTTGACTTTTATATAAAGTAACTATTATTAATCAACTAAAAAAAATTTTTTTAAAAAATTTTATTTAATAAAAATTATAAAAAAAATAAAAATAATTTTATTTTTTAAGATATATTTATTGAAACAAATGTTTTAAATATTTATAATTATAATGTAACTATATAGAGATCAATTTATATAGATGGTTAGCAAAAAATTGTGTTAGTAACTATAATATAATTGTGCTTATATAGAAGTAAAACTAATATAAAATGAGGACCAATTTTTATACCCCCCACATTTGCTATTTATATCTCTATTATGGAAATTTCTGGTAATTATGTGATTACATGAAATAATAGTAACTATCCATCAAATTTTCACTTTCATGTGATGACATCCAATAGTATATTTCATTTTAATATAATATTACATAATCAGAAAGATCAAAACAAAATGTTTGCTTTTCAAAAATCGCTTATTCCTCAAAAACTAGCATAAGAAACCACTTTTTGAGCTATAACAAAAAAATTTCCTCAATAATTTTACTATTATTTTTTTAAAACCTAGCATATTATAAACACTAATCCTAACTTAAATGAATTTAAAGATTTTTAAATATGATTATATGAAAATGAAAATTTTGATGGTGATACTGGGAAAGATAAATGATAGTAAAATGATATTCTTTATCTTGCATATGATTGGTCAATAATTATATGATTAGATGTTTAAGTAACATCACTAACTTGAATAAGGTCTCACTACACATTCTATAGTTCTTACTAATAAAAAAAAGTATTGATACAACTAAGCATACAGACATATTTTTACAAATGCTGATAATTTGAGAATGCTTAAAACTACTATTGATTGTTTTATATATCAATTTGTTATCACAAATAAGTTTAATTATATAAGTCATATAAGTTTATTTATTTTATTTTATTTTTTTTGCTTGCGTTTACATTCAAGAAAAAAAATTACAAATAAAAAAAACAATAAATATTAAATATTGTTAACACATATCAAAGAAATTAATTAAATTTTATAAGGAGTTATTTCTACTAAGGCAGATATAAGCATTGTGCTCAGAGTGATAACAAAGGGTACAATGCTTTACTTTATAATCTACTAACTTAAAACCAGAGGAATCTCTCCTAGTTGAGTTGGTCTGTTAGCAATTAGAAGTACCAGAAAGATGTCCTTTGGTGTGTACTATATTGGGATTTTGTAAAGTTAATAATGGGGTATTGATTATGTCCTTTAATATCTTTCATACTCCTGATTGCTAAAATGTCAGCCATTCTTGATATCTTTGCTATAAGTCTTGTAAAAAAGGTTGCAATAAGTTCTCAGAATAAGAAGTATTTCTTTCTATTAGGAAAGCTAGTAGGTTTTCAGAAATTCACTAATGTTTATGAATATCATCAAGCATTAGGCTTTGATTCTCTCTAAAGTGTTGAATGGTATGAGTGCAAGGCAACTCTATTGTTTTAAGAAAGATCTACTACATGGCAACAGAGGTTTTTGTGCAATAGCATGTTTTACCTTTTGATATTGTTCATTTATTTTTTTTAATGCATAGATTGAAACTTTACCTCTAATGTTTTTATACAAAATATTATTAATAGCAAAAGCCAGAAGGCAAATGCACTCTGACTCAGTTGTAGCTTCAATCTCTTTTTTTTGGTTGGCTACTGCAAGTAATATTGTTATATAAATCTGGTGAAGGTCCTTCACAGATGTCTGCAGATATGTTTTGAGAGTTGCTTGTGCACTCTCAATTCAGAAAGTTGAAGTAGTTCTCAGGTAAAGTAATGTATCTGTCTATGCTTTTACAAACTTAGAGTAGAATCCATAAATATTTACAGTTAAAATAAAAATTAGAGTATTAATATTTAATGAATATTTAAGTTTCACAAATCTATCAATATTTATTTGAATTAAGAAAAATTCTATTTTTACTCAAGTTGAAGTTATTCAATAAACTATAATGTTATTTACATAACTAAAATTATAGTACTATATTAGTAATATTTCAGATAACTTTAACCCAGATAAAAATAGAAATTTCCTATATAAAATCTAAATATTTATTCAAAATCTGTGAATATTTATTGAATAGTTATGATAAATATTCAAAGAATTCCAACTCTATACAAACCTATCTTTTTATAATATTCAAGTTTTCTTAATATATAAAATGAATTTGGGTTTACTAATATAAGTAGAATAAAAATTATTCCACTTTATATCAAATTCAGTTTCAGTTTCTAATTGAATGATATTGTTTTATTTAGTAAGAAAATCTTCCTATTCACTATTTTTTTTATTTCTTATTTTTGTGAGAACTGTGGCTTGTAATTTTTTAAAATATTTTTACTAATATGCCAAACACAAAGCAAATTTTTTGAATCAGAAAAAATTGCACCAAGAGCATTCATAAAAGCAAGTTCTCTATTGGTCACAATAATATCAGGTTTTTGCATCTATTAAACAAATGCATAATATGTGTTAAAGCTCACCTGTAATTCTTTTCACCCTCATCTTTCATAAAAACAAAACAAGAATAAAAGGTGGTATTAAAGCTGTTATACCTATTACATTTAATAATTGCATTTTAAATCTGTTGGTTTTGTAGCTACAATCTATTAAAATTACAGTAGGATATTAACAGATGAATGAAACATATTCATTTTGTGCAAAAAAAAAAAGAATATCAGAACCAGTATTATCACATTTATACTCATATAAAAAATCACCATTTTGAAGCTTATCTACTAAAGCCCGAATTGGAGTATGACCTGCTAGATTTTTTAGCCAAAGCCATGTACATGTATTATAAATGTCAACATTAGTAACTAGTATTTTAAGGTGGTTTTGGTAAAGAGTAAATATGATTTCTCGAGGACGTGAACTGGTGTGATCATAGTTGAAATGCTTGCTATTTGTTGTTCTGTAAGCTGACGAACAATGGAATACCCTGCTATGTTATTTGAGTGATCATGATTATGAGTTGCATTGCGAATTTCTAGATGCCATGATTCATTACATCTAGCAACATACAACTCAAAAGGGTAATCAATAAGCTGAGTAGTTCTTTGTTTATGATTTGTTTTATCTAAAGAGTTATGATAAACATCACCACAGTTACATCTTAATGTTATATTTTTTAATTCATTACTATTATTTTTTCAAGTTCTTTTTTTAACCAGCATGTAACCTTGAGAAATTGTAAACCTTTGAGCCTCTTGGAAAAGTTCATCAGTATTATTGTATGTTGCAGAGAGTGGTAGAAGCATAGTTTACTTTAATAAGGCAGATGATTGAATTTATAAGATAGGCAAATTAATTTTTTGCAAGTTGACAATAAATAAAAATTCACAAAAAACACTAGAAATAGTTATGATTTATTACAAATTTAGAAGGAAATGTATTAAAAATACTTTTATCAAATTTTTTAATATTTGATAAAATGAAAAGATTTTTATTAACTATTAAAATTCTTTTTATACTTTAGATCTATTTTAAAAATTTATATATAATCTGCTGCCTTGGATTTGAACTATGCAATAGGAGTATTTTAATTTATCTTACTTTGTTTGAAGCATCAGATTTTTTAATTTTTTATAATTAGAAGCTACTAAATCAATTATTCACTTCTAGTGCATTACTATAGCTTATTTTAGAGCCACATCTTACACTTTTTTAGGAATTATTACTTTTATTCTAGAACCATACTATATCTTTTTAAAATTTATCCTAGATATTAAATAGAATTTGTATATTTTGTTATATTTGTATCAACTTAATGATTATGTTCCTTATAGCTACTTCAAATTTTACTTATATTTAGAAGCTGCAATTACAATGCTTTAGAACTTGTTACTTTTTCTTATTGTGAGCCACATACTATATCTTTATAGTACTAATTTTCTTCTCAAAATCAATATATTAAGACTCGTTTAATCATTTTCCTATTTTGACTAGTATTTTTTAGCACTTCCAGATTTAGGTTAATAATCATCACATAGCTATACATTAATATTAATATAATTAGTATCAATGCTTCATGAGAGAAATATTTGACTATTGGTCAGAATACAATCAGCAGTTTAGTATTTTTAGTCAGCAGCTACAAATACTTTATCTTTGTAAAAAAAAAAACATTGATCATGAAACTATATGAAAAAAAATTATAAAACCATATGAAAAAAGACTGTGAGACTATATAAAAAAATGATTGGTTATGAGACTATGTTAAAAAAAAATCATAAAAACATATATATAGGTAGCTATTTTGATAGAAGAGAATCTAACTATCATTGTTATTGTCATTTATCTCTAGCTTAAACAGGGCATTATGCTTATCTAGCATTTAATATATATATTTTATACTTATATATAAAGGTGCACTAGTTTATATTATTTAAATTTATAGTATTTAATATATATGGTTTAATTTATATCTGTATACATGTTTAATAATTATTAATAAAAAGTTGAAGTTGACATAAACCAAATCTACTTAGATTAAAATATAATAAATACACCTAAAGTTTAACATTTGCATTAATTCTAATTTTAATAATTTTAATAGTGTGAGTAAATTAGTAAAATCTACTACATAGATTATGTTAGAGTGAAATCTGCATTTAGTAATAGATTTTACTCACATGTAATCTATGTAGCAGATTTTACTAGTTCAAAGCATGAGTTTCACTCTGTCATATTTTAATTTTTGAATTGTATTTAATAATTTTGACTAATTATATTTGAAATAGTAAATATCATTTTACATAATTGTATAATTATATGAATACCAGAAATTTTTGTGATAGGAGTATAAATATCAAATATGGGGTATAAAATTGGTCTCCTATAAAAAAGATTAGTAAATTTATAAATGTGACTATAGTGAATTTGTAACTATATAGAAGGTGACTATAGAGAGGTTAGACTGTATATATATAATATAACAATATATGTGTAATGTAATAACATATATGTAATATAGTAATATTTGTATAATATAAAACATTTTGTATATATAATATATAAATTAATTTACTTTATAAATTAAAATTAAAATAAATAAATAAATAAATATGTACTAATCTATATAAGTAATATAAAAAGGTTTTATAGCATACATTTGTTAAAAAACTTTTTTAAATTTTTTTAAAAATTTAACTAGTTTTTTATATTTTTACTAATAATTTATTATTTATTTATTATTTAAATAGATTATAATTATTAATTAATTAAAAAATAATTGTTTAATAAAGAATTTAATTAAAAGTTATTAATAATAATAATAAAGATATTAAATTTATTAAAATTTAAAAATTAATAATAGAAATAAAAAATTTATAATTAAAATAAAAATATTAAAAATTATATTATTTATTTAATTAATATTGTATTTTCTTTATAAATAATTCAAATAATTAATTATATTATTTAATTTTTTTTAAATGAGATAGAAAATATCAGAGAAAAATGAATTAACACTTGAAAAATTAATAAAACTTGAAAAATTAATAGAAGGTTATAAAATACTATCTAATAAGACAAAAGATCAAAGAAAAAAAAATCAATAAAAAAAAAAAGCTAAAGAAAAAATTTTTAAAAAAATAGAATAATTATCTGGATTAGTACCTTCAAGCAGTACAAGATCTCAAACAAAAAAAAATTTAATAATATTTGCAAAAACAAAAGAAACTAATAGATTAAGACAGTAAAGAAGAAGAACTTCTTTAATACTAGCTCAAAAAAAAGAAAAAAAACAAAAAGATAAAGAAAAAAAAATTTATAATAAGAAAAAAGAAGAGAAATTTAAACAATTTTATAAAATAAAATATTGTAGTTTAGATAATTATAAAGATAAAAATATAGATAAAGATAATTGCAAAAATAAATAATATAGATTAGATAGATGAACATTATATATAGATATTATTTAGCATTAAGATAAAAAGAAGAACCAGAAGGGTTATGTTACTTAAAAGATTAAATCTAATTAGTATAATTTAATCCACTATTAAAAATTTTGAAATTACTTTTAATAAAAAAGAATCCAGATACTAATAAACTTTTTGTTGATTAAATAAGAGCATATAATCAAATATTTGCTTTTATATCAATTGAAGATGCAAGATTAAATATAAATCTTACTAATATTGGAAAAGGGTTTATACTTATAAAATTCAAAAACAATATTATTATCAACATAATTGTTTAATATTTAAAATAATTGAAGATATATAATCTAAACCAAAATTTACTCAAATATATTTTTATGATGGCTCTAATCTTAATATAATTTAATAGATAAAACATTAAATTATATTATATTACAACAACTTCAATATAAAATATCTAAAAATAATCCATTTGTATAAATATTTATAAGTGCAAAAGATATAGAAGATGAAAAAAAATAATATTAGTATTTATAACTATATATAATATTTATGCTAAAGATATAAGAAATTATAATACACCAACATGTAATAAAATAGTTTTAATATATACTAACTATATACTTTAACAATAAAGAGACATTATCATATAAAGATTTGATAATAAATTAATAAAGATATCAGAATTACATAAAAATATAATCTTTTAAAATATTTACTATTTCTATTTAGAGAATATTGATAGCATAGAGGAATATTAAGAACAAATGTTCAACAAAAAGTTAATAAAAAAATAATTACTTGAATCAATAGAAAAAGCTAAAGTAAAAAAAAGAAGAAATAGAATAAAAGAAAAGTAGAAGAAGAAGAAACTCAACAAGAATACACTTCAGTAGAAAATTCTTAATAATTATAATCTAATACTGAATTAACAATGCAACAAGTTATAAATAATATAATAGATTCAAATAGACCAAAACAATAAAATATTAAAGAACAATAAATTATTGAAAAATAATAAAATATTAAAAAATAACAAGAAGAATAGAGTGTTAAAAAAAATATTAAAAAAATAAACCCCCAAGAAACTACATCTATTGATTTTAAACATTATATAAAGAAAAAACTTAAAGTCAAACAGGTGTAACTGATATATTAGAAGATATAACTCTTAAATCTTTTACAAATATAAGCATTAATGAAGAAGATAAAGATAGTAAAAATACAAAAAAATAATCTTAATAGAAGTTGAATCTTAAACTAAATCAAAAAATAATAATGATAATAATATTATATATATATCTCAGCAAGAAAAAATAATAAAAAAAAAGAAAAAAAAAAAGTTGCTAAAACTGAAACTGAAAAAAAAGAAATATAACTATTTGAATTACTAATATTTTTTGATACTAAAAATGTAAGTGAACAAATTGATTCTAAAAATAAACAAGTTGATGAATAATCTTAAGTTCAACAAAAAAAGAAAAAGAAAAAAGAAAAACAATTTCAATTAGAGAGTTTGTAGTATATAAATTTATGATTAGAAACTCTAATATAACAAAAAGTATTTTGTATTATACTAAAAGATTATTTTAACAATATATAGTAAATTAATATGTAAAATGAAAAACAAATTGTTTAAATTGGCATTATAAAAATCAAGACAAATTAAGAACTAAAACATATTATGAATTAAATAATATAATTTATAATGAAAAAACTAATATAAATTAAGTTAAAAAACAAACAATATTGGCTTCAAGTTTTATAAAATCTATAAGATATTTTTAATAATTATATCAAGATGTAATAGCAATTATTAGAGAATTTGAAAAACCTGTAATCCACAATAAGCTGAAATTATTAATAAACTTTTATCAAATTAAGAACTTTAAATAGACAAGATATAATTACAAAGGTTTTCAAATTAGAATTACAAGTAATAACTTTAAAGATTTTGTTATTTGAAATACTTTGTATATAATTTTGCCAATAAAAATACTTAAAATTTTATTAAAGAAATCTTGTCAGATTTAAATAATTTTTAAAAGTACATAAATTTAAGAATAAAAGTACATTAAAAATAGAAGCTTAATTCACTCATAAGGCTTATTAATCTATTCAGAAGATTCTGATATATAATTAATAATAAATAAAGATAAAAATAGAAAATAAATATAAATTATTACAAATCAAAGTTGATTATTAATACATATATTAATCACATCATTGATAAGCAAAATTGCACTATAGGGCAAAATAAATGAGTTATAATAATGCTTATCTATCTATAATACATTTGCTAAATTAATTCTATTTATATTTAATAGACTGATAAACTAAATATAGCTAAATTAATTATAGTAATTAGCATGTAATTA